TACGTACGGTGCGATAGAAGTTCAACATACATGTTGTATGTTAGTGCTGTATGTTGTGCATTGGTGTTGCAGCCAGCCAGAAACCGGCGCGACCAACAATATCCCCAAGCTCTGTGGTCCTACATTGGGATAATTTGTCGATACCGCGTTGGCAGTGGTGCACAAATAAAACTCACTGAACACATTCGTTAATACCACGGCTGCATAAGAGGAAAATATATCATGGGCGATGTTTGAAGCAATGGGCCCCATTGCATGGCATATGTTTGCCCAGTTCCATTCAAGAGCGAGTATGCATGTGAGGGGAGAGAACCAACGCGTGCGAGGGGGAAACATTAAATCCCCTCGAGATGGAAATGTCTCCGCTTGCTGCGCTTCCAGACCCTGGATAGGCCAGGAGATGGCGACCTTAGCGACCACGGGGAGTTTCACAACATTTGTGTGGTGATCCACACGTGCACATACACACAGACTCACACACTCACACAGACTCACTCACTCACACAGACTCACACACTCACACAGACTCACTCACTCACACAGACTCACACACTCACACAGACTCACTCACTGACACAGACTCACACACTCACACAGACTCACACACTCACACAGACTCACTCACTCACACAGACTCACTCACTCACACACAGACTCACTCACTGACACAGACTCACTCATTCACACAGACTCACTCACTCACACAGACTCACACACTCACACAGATTCACTCACTCACACAGACTCACACACTCACACAGATTCACTCACTCACACAGACTCACACACTCACACAGACTCACACACTCACACAGACTCACTCACACAGACTCACACACAGACTCACTCACTCACACAGACTCACACACTCACACAGACTCACTCACTCACACAGACTCACTCACTCACACAGACTCACACACTCACACAGACTCACACACTCACACAGACTCACTCACTCACACAGACTCACACACTCACACAGACTCACTCACTCACACAGACTCACACACTCACACAGACTCACTCACTCACAGACTCACTCACTCACACAGACTCACTCACTCACACAGACTCACAGACTCACACACTCACTCACTCACACAGACTCACACACTCACACAGACTCACTCACTCACACAGACTCACACACTCACACAGACTCACTCACTCACACAGACTCACTCACTCACACAGACTCACACACACAGACTCACTCACTCACACAGACTCACACACTCACACAGACTCACTCACTCACACAGATTCACACACTCACACAGACTCACACACTCACACAGACTCACTCACTCACACAGACTCACTCACTCACACAGACTCACACACTCACACAGACTCACTCACACAGACTCACACACTCACACAGACTCACTCACTCACACAGACTCACAACCACTCACAACAGACTCCACTCACTCACACAGACCTCACACAGACTCACTCACTCACACAGACTGCACTCACTCACACAGACTCACTCACTCACACAGACTCACAACACTCACACAGATTCACTCACTCACACAGACTCACACACTCACACAGACTCACTCACTCACAACAGACTCACTCACACAGACTCACACACTCACACAGGACTCACACACTCACACAGACTCACTCACTCACACAGACTCACTCACTCACACAGACTCACTCACTGACACAGACTCACTCATTCACACAGACTCACATACTCACACAGGACTCACTCACTCACACAGACTCACTCACTCACACAGACTCACACACTCACACAGATCACTCACTCACACAGACTCACTCACTCACACAGACTCACACACTCACACAGACTCACTCACTCACACAGACTCACTCACTCACACAGACTCACACACTCACACAGACTCACTCACTCACAACAGACTCACACACTCACACAGACTCACTCACTCACAGACTCACTCAACTCACACAGACTCACTCACTCACACAGACTCACACACTCACACAGACTCACACACTCACACAGACTTCACTCACTCACACAGACTCACACACTCACACAGACTGCACTCACTCACACAGACTCACTCACTCACACAGACTCACACACTCACACAGACTCACTCACTCACACAGACTCACACACTCACACAGACTCACTCACTCACACAGACTCACACACTCACACAGACTCACACACTCACACAGACTCACTCACTGACACAGACTCAATCACTGACACAGACTCACACACTCACACAGACTCACTCACTCACACAGACTCACACACTCACACAGACTCACTCACTCACACAGACTCACTCACACAGACTCACACACTCACACAGACTCACACACTCACACAGACTCACTCACTCACACAGACTCACTCACTCACACAGACTCACACACTCACACAGACTCACTCACTCACACAGACTCACACACTCACACAGACTCATACACGTCACACAGACTCACTCACTCACACAGACTCACACAGACTCACTCACTCACACAGACTCACTCACTCCACACAGACTCACACACTCACACAAGATTCACTCACTCACACAGACTCAACACACTCACACAGACTCACTCACTCACACAGACTCACTCACACAGACTCACACACTCACACAGACTCACACACTCACACAGACTCACTCACTCACACAGACTCACACAGACTCACTCACTCACACAGACTCACTCACTCACACAGACTCACTCACTGACACAGACTCACACACTCACACAGACTCACACAGACTCACTCACTCACACAGACTCACACACTCACACAGACTCACACACTCACTCACTCACACAGACTCACTCACTCACACAGACTCACTCACTCACACAGACTCACACACACTCACTCACTCACACAGACTCACTCACACAGACTCACACACTCACACAGACCCACACACTCACACAGACTCACACACTCACACAGACTCACTCACTCACACAGACTCACACACTCACACAGACTCACTCACTCACACAGACTCACACACTCACACAGACTCACACACTCACACAGACTCACTCACTGACACAGACTCACTCACTGACACAGACTCACACACTCACACAGACTCACTCACTCACACAGACTCACACACTCACACAGACTCACTCACTCACACAGACTCACTCACACAGACTCACACACTCACACAGACTCACACACTCACACAGACTCACTCACTCACACAGACTCACTCACTCACACAGACTCACACACTCACACAGACTCACTCACTCACACAGACTCACACACTCACACAGACTCATACACTCACACAGACTCACTCACTCACACAGACTCACACAGACTCACTCACTCACACAGACTCACTCACTCACACAGACTCACACACTCACACAGATTCACTCACTCACACAGACTCACACACTCACACAGACTCACTCACTCACACAGACTCACTCACACAGACTCACTCACTCACACAGACTCACACACTCACACAGACTCACACAGACTCACTCACTCACACAGACTCACTCACTGACACAGACTCACACACTCACACAGACTCACACACTCACACAGACTCACTCACTCACACAGACTCACCACACTCACACAGACTCACACACTCACTCACTCACACAGACTCACTCACTCACACAGACTCACTCACTCACACAGACTCACACACACTCACACACTCACACAGACTCACTCACTCACACAGACTCACTCACTCACACAGACTCACTCACACAGACTCACACACTCACACAGACTCACTCACTCACACAGACTCACTCACTGACACAGATCCCCCGTATATCCTGAACAGACTGTTGGGGCAAGTGCTGTTAGCGAGCACCTATGCACGGCACACGAGGGAGTGGGTAGCCAGGACCACGCCCGGCCGCCTTTGTCTCCCTAGTGACGATGTTTACACAAAGCACCGCGCTAACCGCTGCACCGCCGCTCCCCACTGTTACAGTGCAGCACTGTCCCCAGGTAAGATGGCCGCCCGCCCCCACGTGACTCGGCGCGCGCACTCGGCACGTGGTGTCAGCACCACGTGGTGTCACCCAGTGCGCGCGGTCTCGCGCCGCCATCACTGCTCACGGAGTCGCTGCCGCGTGAGTCTCTGGGCCTCTGTGTGAGTCTCTCTGTGTGAGTCTCTGTGTGAGAGTCTCTCTGTGCGAGTCTCTGTGTGTGAGTCTCTGTGTGAGGGTCTCTGTGTGAGTCTCTCTGTGTGAGCCTCTGTGTGAGAGTCTCTCTGTGCGAGGCTCTGTGTGAGGGTCTCTGTGTGCGAGTCTCTGTGTGAGGGTCTCTGTGTGCGAGTCTCTGTGTGAGGGTCTCTGTGTGAGTCTCTGGGTGAGAGTCTCTGAGTCTCTGGGTGAGTCTCTCTGTGTGAGTCTCTCTGTGTGTGAGTCTCTGTGTGAGAGTCTCTGTGTGAGAGTCTCTGTGTGAGTCTCTGTGTGAGAGTCTCTGTGTGAGTCTCTGGGTGAGAGTCTCTGAGTCTCTGGGTGAGTCTCTCTGTGTGAGTCTCTCTGTGTGAGAGTCTCTGGGTGAGTCTCTGTGTGAGTCTCTGAGTCTCTGGGTGAGTCTCTGTGTGTGACTCTCTTTGTGTGAGTCTCTGTGTGAGAGTCTCTGTGTGAGAGTCTCTGAGTCTCTGTGTGAGAGTCTCTGGGTGAGAGTCTCTGGGTCTCTGTGTGAGAGTCTCTGGGTCTCTGTGTGAGAGTCTCTGGGTCTCTATGTGAGAGTCTTTGGGTGAAAGTCTCTGAGTCTCTGTGTGAGAGTCTCTGAGTCTCTGTGTGAGAGTCTCTGAGTCTCTGGGTGAGAGTCTCTGAGTCTCTGGGTGAGTCTCTGTGCGAGTCTCTGTGTGAGAGTCTCTGAGTCTCTGTGTGAGAGTCTCTGAGTCTCTGTGTGAGTCTGTGGGTGAGAGTCTCTGAGTCTCTGGGTGAGAGTCTCTGTGTGAGAGTCTCTCTGTGTGAGTCTCTGTGTGAGGGTCTCTGTGTGAGAGTCTCTGAGTCTCTGGGTGAGTGTCTCTGTGTGAGAGTCTCTGTGTGAGAGTTTCTGAGTCTCTGGGTGAGAGTCTCTGTGTGTGAGTCTCTGTGTGAGAGTCTCTGAGTCTCTGGGTGAGAGTCTCTGAGTCTCTGTGTGAGTCTCTGGGTGAGAGTATCTGTGTGAGAGTCTCTGAGTCTCTGGGTGAGAGTCTCTGAGTCTCTGTGTGAGAGTCTCTGAGTCTCTGTGTGAGAGTCTCTGAGTCTCTGTGTGAGAGTCTCTGGGTCTCTGTGTGAGAGTCTCTGGGTCTCTGTGTGAGAGTCTCTGGGTCTCTGTGTGAGAGTCTCTGGGTGAGAGTCTCTGGGTCTCTGTGTGAGAGTCTCTGAGTCTCTGTGTGAGAGTCTCTGAGTCTCTGTGTGAGAGTCTCTGAGTCTCTGTGTGAGAGTCTCTGAGTCTCTGTGTGATAGTCTCTGGGTCTCTGTGTGAGAGTCTCTGAGTGAGAGTCTCTGGGTCTCTGTGTGAGAGTCTCTGAGTCTCTGGGTGAGAGTCTCTGAGTCTCTGGGTGAGAGTCTCTGAGTCTCTGTGTGAGAGTCTGTGTGAGTCTCTGTGTGAGAGTCTCTGAGTCTCTGGGTGAGAGTCTCTGGATCTCTGTGTGACAGTCTCTGGGTCTCTGTGTGAGAGTCTCTGGGTGAGAGTCTCTGGGTCTCTGTGTGAGAGTCTCTGAGTCTCTGGGTGAGAGTCTCTGAGTCTCTGTGTGAGAGTCTGTGTGAGTCTCTGTGTGAGAGTCTCTGGGTGAGAGTCTCTGGGTCTCTGTGTGAGAGTCTCTGGGTCTCTGTGTGAGAATCTCTGGGTGAGAGTCTCTGGGTCTCTGTGTGAGAGTCTCTGAGTCTCTGTGTGAGAGTCTCTGGGTGAGAGTCTCTGGGTCTCTGTGTGAGAGTCTCTGGGTGAGAGTCTCTGGGTCTCTGTGTGAGTGTCTCTGGGTGAGAGTCTCTGAGTCTCTGGGTGAGAGTCTCTGAGTCTGGGTGAGAGTCTCTGGGTCTCTGTGTGAGAGTCTCTGGGTCTCTGTGTGAGGGTCTCTGGGTGAGAGTCTCTGGGTGAGAGTCTCTGGGTCTCTGTGTGAGAGTCTCTGGGTGAGAGTCTCTGATTCTCTGGGTGAGAGTCTCTGAGTCTCTGGGTGAGAGTCTCTGGGTCTCTGTGTGAGAGTCTCTGGGTGAGAGTCTCTGGGTCTCTGTGTGAGTGTCTCTGGGTGAGAGTCTCTGAGTCTCTGGGTGAGAGTCTCTGAGTCTCTGGGTGAGAGTCTCTGAGTCTCTGGGTGAGAGTCTCTGGGTCTCTGTGTGAGAGTCTCTGTGTGAGAGTCTCTGGGTGAGAGTCTCTGAGTCTCTGGGTGAGAGTCTCTGGGTCTCTGTGTGAGAGTCTCTGGGTCTCTGTGTGAGAGTCTCTGGGTGAGATTCTCTGGGTGAGAGTCTCTGAGTCTCTGGGTGAGAGTCTCTGGGTCTCTGTGTGAGAGTCTCTGGGTGAGAGTCTCTGAGTCTCTGGGTGAGAGTCTCTGAGTCTCTGGGTGAGAGTCTCTGGGTCTCTGTGTGAGAGTCTCTGGGTGAGAGTCTCTGGGTCTCTGTGTGAGGGTCTCTGGGTCTCTGTGTGAGGGTCTCTGGGTCTCTGTGTGAGAGTCTCTGGGTCTCTGTGTGAGAGTCTCTGGGTGAGAGTCTCTGAGTCTCTGGGTGAGAGTCTCTGGGTCTCTGTGTGAGGGTCTCTGGGTCTCTGTGTGAGAGTATCTGGGTCTCTGTGTGAGGGTCTCTGTATGCGAGTCTCTGTGTCTCTGTGTCTCTGTGTGAGAGTCTCTGTGTGAGGGTCTCTGTGTGAGAGTCTCTGGGTCTCTGTGTGAGAGTCTATGGGTCTCTGTGTGAGAGTCTCTGGGTCTCTGTGTGAGGGTCTCTGTGTAAGAGTCTCTGGGTCTCTGTGTGAGGGTCTCTGTGTCAGAGTCTCTGGGTCTCTGTGTGAGGGTCTCTGTGTCAGAGTCTCTGGGTCTCGGTGTGAGAGTCTCTGGGTCTCTGTGTGAGAATCTCTGTTGAGAGTCTCTGGGTCTCTATGTAAGAGTCTCTGGGTCTCTGTGTAAGTCTCTGGGTCTCTGTGTGAGAATCTCTGTGTGAGAGTCTCTGGGTCTCTGTGTGAGGGTCTCTGTGTGAGAGTCTCTGGGTCTCTGTGTGAGGGTCTCTGTGTGAGAGTATCTGGGTCTCTGTGTGAGAGTCTGGTTCTGGTGCAAGAAACATAAGAATGAAGCCTGCCAATGCCCCCCTCTGCTCCACGTGGCATGGCACTGCAGCAACTCCCCGCCCGTGTGGGCCCGTGCAGTTGTACCGCCTGCACACGCGGCAGGAGACGTGGCCACTGGTGGTGTGCCGCGTGCTCGTAGTTTTAGTGGACTGTATCGTCCTTGCCCGCACAGGAAATCAAAGGTAATTGTTTATAGCACGGCCTACATGCGCGTGCGTTTTGTGTTTTAGTGTTTGTTCTTGCTCCGCACATCAGATTAGCACCATTGGCTACGTACGGTGCGAAAGAAGTTAGTTTAAATTTCTACATCCGTTAAAGGAGTAGATGATGGAAAATGTAAAACTGAAGTCTCGCGTAAGGCAGTGTGGCGCTTACAGAAAGACACGCCTTTAGCTCGTGCAGTTACAGTCGTCTCAAGGAGACGCCACATGAAGATGCGTGAAGGTAATTTAATTTCTGACGGGGAGAAACAGCGGCAACTCGAAATATAAACCATTCTTGGGAGCCTCCCTTAGGTCAGTTCGGCCTTAAATGAGTACTCGGTTCATTGCGAGTGTAGATTCGGGAGACAAAGACGGCTGTGATTCTGCTTACACGACCACTAACAGCACGCTGCTGGCCTTCATAGAGGCTCACTCGCTACGCTTGATGTTCAGAGCTAAAAGTAGCGAATTGAGTCCCCGAAAGAAGATCTGAGCAGGCCATAAAATAAGGGACAATAAACTCAGAATAGTTTTTAACGCTTTTCATCGTCAACGCCTGCTGTTGTATCATTTCAAGCGGCATTGGTTCAACACAAGCATGTAAGAATTGTTTCAATACCACCAGGTAAATTAGTTGCTAGATGTACTGTTAATGTATGAAGTTCATAGTTTAAATAAAAGTAATCTAATGTCCGCGATTTTGAATTATCCGCGGCTGTCCTCCCTGTCAGCACGAATAATCGATAATCTACTTTATTAGCTGACGTCCAAAGAAAATCCTAAATGAATGAAAATCAGGTCTACGATTGTCATTCAATTATAGACCTGATTGATTGAAAATCAGGTCCATCGTCATAATTACAGACCCCTTAATCTGTGATGATGACGAGGAGTGGCCGCTTTCAAATGGGAAAAGTCGACGCTGTCTTTGCGCGTCAGGTGCTGCCTTAGCACTTGTTCTGATCCCATGCCTTGGTTGGGATTTTAAAAAATGTCTGTTTCCCAGTGGAGCCTGGGACGCGTCACGCAGCCGCCCCTACCTGCTGCCGGTGTGCGGACACGCGTCTCGTGTGGAGCATGCCTGCAGGACAAAGGCACGCGCACGCGCGGGCTGCGAGTTTGTGTGCCCGACCTGCAAGGTACAGCTATGACAGTCGTATGGCCACGTTGTGTACGAGTGTGTATGTCAGGGTGTTTGTATCTGCCTGCATGTGCACAATAGTGCAGCGGTTAGCGCTACGCTGCGCTACGAACCCGGCGACACGAGTTCGATTCCCGCTCATGGCCGCCAACACTGGTGACGATTATATGAACCAGCCCTGGACCTCCCCTAAAGTTGACTCGGCGTCAAATGAGTACCTAGTACAGTGTGTAAACAACGCCACTGGGGAGACAAAGGCGGCCGGGCTTGATGTTGGCCAAACACCCTCTCGTGCCGTGCCGGCCTTCACGGATGCTACTCACTATCGGCACTTGCCCCAACAGTCTGTTAAGGCTACACGGGGGATCTTTGTCTTTTGTATGTGAACGTGTTATCAAAACGCCTCTCGGCTGGTTTCGTGTGAAGTCCCCAGTGGTGTAACTGGGTGCTACTGCAGTGGATAAAACAACCTGCAAATATGAGCCAAAGATTTATTTGTTAACAGTGAAAGCGAAGTTTTTCAGGCATTGTCAAAAACATTTTGCAAGGGACCAGAATGGATGAATCCGAGTCAACGACACAAGATGTCGCTTGCTTCTGTCTGTGATTTGCAGTTACGAGTTTTACTCACTCTGCCACGTTTGCAATAGTTTCCTTGTATTTGGCAAGCAATCGGAGAGGGACAAACGGTGATGCCATCTTTTTTGTACGCTTTCTCTTTTTGAAAATGTTGCTGCTTGACATTTTAATGGTACACTACCAAGCTGTCAGTTGAATATGTAGCAGGCTTTCGCGACCAATGTCCATAATCGAGGTTTTTGGGTTAGATTGCGTAAATATAATAAATGTCGTTAATCCCGGCACCACCCAATACGGTCAATTAGTAAGGTTTGTCACGTAACCAAAACATGCCAATTCATGACTAGTACAGCTCATCGTTGGAAAGTAAAGATGTATTAAAATACAGGAAAATATATTGTTATCCGGCATTCTACAATCTGGAATGCTCTTCACTAACCAGCATCTGTCGTAAACGGCAATGCGAATCTTCCTTCATGTACAGACAGTCCACAGGTTGCGAAATATCTGACTTGAGGAAATCTAACCTAATGGGAATGCTTCCATAAATCATGTAACAATAAAACATCGATATGCAGACATTCTTGCGTTAATTACGTAAGCGCAAATATTGCAGCACAGTGAGGTTTGCGGATGAATACCGTGGAGCGAGACGTAAGGCGAGGGGCAACCTTACGCCTCGCTTGAGCTCCACAAGGGTTAAGGCATTTATTGTCGTCTTATGTAATTCTTTCATTTCGTAGCATTATGTCATTGCTTGTTTTATATGCTGAGAGCTTGTTTTTCCCCATGTTTCTATTGCTAGTTTTCTTCATTTAAGTTTATTTCATGAGTTTTTTACTGTATGTACTTTATTTAACACAATTCTACTTCAGTTGCTTATGCACTCAGCCCAGTATCAAGGAGGATATCTGTGTTGTGTCCAGCCCCATGGCAAGGGGGGGGGGGGGGGTATCTGTGTTTTGTCCAGCCCCCTGGCAAGGGGGGGTATCTGTGTTGTGTCCAGCCCCGTGGCAAGGGGGTATCTGTGTTGTGTCCAGCCCCGTGGCAAGGGAGGTATCTGTGTTGTGTCCAGCCGCATGGAAAGGGGGGGTATCTGTGTTGTGTCCAGCCCCGTGGCAAGGGGGTATCTGTGTTGTGTCCAGCCACATGGCAAGGGGGGGGTATCTGTGTTGTGTCCAGCCCCGTGGCAAGGGGGGTATCTGTGTTGTGTCCAGCCCCGTGGCAAGGGGGGTATCTGTGTTGTGTCCAGCCCCGTGGCAAGGGGGGTATCTGTGTTGTGTCCAGCCCCGTGGCAAGGGGGGTATCTGTGTTGTGTCCAGCCCCGTGGCAAAGGGGGTATCTGTGTTGTGTCCAGCCCCGTGGCTAGGGGGGGATATTGGTGTTTTGCGATGATGCCTACTCACACCTTCGTCTCCTTCGTCAGGTCCCCGGCCTCCTACCTGCAGCCCGACGAAGCGCTTGGAAATTTCCTACCCACGTGAGCATCACCGCTCTCCCCCTCGCCTCTGCGGCCGCTCGGCTCATCTCCGTGTGCGCGATAATGCGTGGTGACATGTTTATTGCATTTCTCTTTTTTTTATACTAACTGCTATAAACTAAACTTTTTTATTTTAAGTGCCTACTGAACTATATAGCTATTTTTCAGAAGTGACCTGGCTAGTGTAATAAAAGACTCCGTTGGTCACTGTTGGTCTCCTTTGGCCTTTTATTTAGTTTCTTTCTCCGCACCCCGCTGGTCCTGTCCGCGGACCAGCGTCGTCTAGCGCGCGCCCCGCACGCGCGACCTCATCGGCTCCTCCACTCTTCCTCACACCCCGCTAGTCCTGACAGGGGACCAGCGTCTCCTCGCGCGCGCCCACGCACGCTCCTCCGTTAGCTCCTCCACTCCCGCACTCCGCTGGCCGACGGCGTGCTGAAGGTCCTTCGGCCACGTGGCCGATGGCGTGGATCTCCTCTCACCACCCAACGTGGCTCAGCCTCTTTACTCCGCAACTCCCCCGATTTCTTCCGAGCTCCCACTTATATCCTCTCCCCCACGTGACCCTGACTCCTCCCCTTCCGGATCGTCAGATACGGCCTTCCCATACTGCCCTGCTGGCTCCACCCCCATTCACCTCGCTTCCAATTGGAGCCGAGGTGAACGGCGGCCCCTCCCACACGCCCCCCATACTGGGCTCTGCCCCCCAATAACCCGGGCCATGTGATTGGGCCAGAGCCCAGCAGCAAACCCCATTTACGCTCTCATTTCACTACAAATAATAGTTCAACGAAGGGGCTTATGTGCAAATGTTAATTAGCCAAATACTATTAAGGCATCTTGAATCTAAATGTAGAGGGGAAAACCAGAGGACCCAGAGAAAAATCCACGCGACTGCGGAGGAAACATGCAAACTCCAAATTTACAGCAGGCGTCAGGGTCGGGATGGAACCCACGCCCTCCTGTATACCACGCCACCATGAAACTATACTGCCAGCCACCGTCCAACATTCACAAGGTTCAGAAATTCCCTTCGCGGCCTGCGGAACACGCTGCAGATAAAGTTATATAGGGTGGGCACAGAGTACCCACAGTTCCCAGTGTCCACCCCCTACCCACAAGCCTCACCCTTCCCTACCCACAAGCCTCGTCCCTCACCACTCCCTTATCACAATCCTCACCCTTCCCTACTCCCTACCCACAAACCTCACCCATCCCCTACCCACAAGCATACAGGCACCACTCGCGTGGGCGCAACGTGCACAGGTGCAATGAAGGCAGGCCCAATACATAGTGGCATTGCTCAAGATTGCTTTATCAGATCCTCAGTAAGTCTGCACTCCAGCTAACATTGTAGATCGCGGCGCAGACAGCCGAGTTACATGGAAGCGCTAGAGTTTGCTCTACACGGAGCGTTAACGGCCCGCCTCCATTCCGAGCATGCGTGGAAGCGTGCTCAGCAGCGTCAAAGCGAGCCGCCGTGAGTTGGGCAAGAACGTTGACAGCCCTGACCATGTGGAACGTGGCTCGTTCAGATGGCGCGGCGACTCTCGATCGCGAGCTTTCACTCTAGCGGCGTTGTGACTCGTTGGGGCCGCTCCGTGTCAATGACCCGCGGCGGTCTCGACTGTTGCCCAGCCCAGGACTCTGGGCCTCAATAGCCTATGCAGAGCCAACGCCCTCCAAAACGTTGACCTGCAGCATGTTGCGTGGCAGAAAGGGAATTGCTGAATGTTACGAGGAATGTTGGACCAGTGGCTCGTGGTATGGACTAGAGCAGGGGTCGGGAACCTTTTTGACTGGGAGAGCCATAAAAGCCAAATATTTCTAAATATATTTCATTGAGAGCCATATAGTATTTTTAACGTATAATAAATTAAATATGTCTTACTTTTAATGCGACTTCTGGTGCTGCATGGTTTTGCTGATGGCATTGTAGTCTGGTTCATACGTGGTGAGGTTGAGCTTCATGCAGGCGTGACCCGTGAAATTTATCTTCAAAACTAATTTCTGTTTACTTTAAAATGACCCAGTATTATTAAGCAATATCACAAGTATTTTAAAATCAGTTCCAAACTGATTTTTTATTATTATTATTTTTTCCAACTCAAAATTGTCTGGGAGCCATATGCCGTCACCGGAAGAGCCATATATGGCTCGCGAGCCATAGGTTCCCGACCGCTGGACTAGAGAAACAAGTTTTCCATTCATGAAAAATGTAACGTGATCTATTTGGTGTTTGAACATCTTAAGACATGTTTTATTGCCAGAAAGGGTAAAACTTATTGTTATTCTTTATACTTCGATGCTGACAACAAGGTCCCATGACAAGTTAAAAAAACAATTCCACAAATGACTAAACTCCCTAAGTCTTCGTAACAGCCGTGCTTCATTGCTTTGTGTAGCAGCGCCACCGTGTGGATGGAGCCTCATAGCACTTGGAGTGTGGCATTTTTTTTATTGTGTGTGGACATCGCGTTGCGGCCTGTGTGTGCGGGGCGTGCAGGCTGAAGGAAATGCTGGAGGAGCGATTTGGTGGGAAGCCTCGGCCGCTCTACCCCGAGCGGTCGCTCGCGCAGGGCGGCCGCGGCGCTGGCGTCTGGCACCGATCTTGTCGAGGGCTCTGTACAGCACAAACCACTGCACCTGGGCCACGGCCCGAATCCAAAGCCTCCGTTCTGACGGTCAGATTCAGGTCTGTTCCCGTAGTCGAGTTCACGTTTAAATTTATGCTGGGCAATGAGTTGATTGAAACCTAGAGATGTAAAATAGCAGACAGGTCACTTCTGTCACCAGGCCGTTTAGCTGCGTTCCAACCAAGGCTTTTTCTATTTCCACACCTCCGATTAGCACAGTTGGCTATGTACGGTGCGAAAGAAGTTCAACATAAATATTCATAAGTTTGTTTACCCCAAAAAGACCTCAAGCTTTCACGACCATTATCCATAATCGAGGTTTTTGGGTTAGACGACGTAAATATGAATGTGTCGTTCAACCCGCCACCGCCAACACAGCCAATTACTGTAGTGAGGTTTGTCACGTAATCAAAACGTGCTAATTCGTTACTAGTTCAGCACACTGGTGTGTTCGAGAGTAAACCCCCAACATTTACAATTCAATACTCTTTGGTTCTTTTGGTAAAGTCACGTAGGTATAAAATAAAATTTACAATTCGAGTACGACGTTTTGTCAGTAATTCCAACTCACATCAACAGGCGATAGCCAGGGTTGTTAAGAGCGAAGCAGGAGGATTTCTCAAGAGATAAATGTGATGTCTCACTTGTGGGGCAATTAGGCCGTAGGCCGAAGGCTGGGGGGGGGGGGGGGAGGTTATGAATGCATATAAATTACAATGGATATCCAATATCGGTTGGGTTATTCATAGGATAATCAACAGACATACATTCACATTATGCATGCACACCATGCATATCCATCCTGCCGTTTTTGGTTGCAAGAAAGACGGGTTTTTTTTATTCCAGCGTTCAGATAGTTGCCCAGTACCAGTTACGTTGCCATGGCGTGTTGTAGGCTGAAGCATTGACGCTAGAGGATGACCGAAACTGAATTTCTGGTTTCGGCCGAAACCGAAACCAGACCGAAAGTTAAATATTAGCTTTTGGCCGAAACCGAAGCCGAAACCGAAAGTTGAACTTCACTTTCGGCCAAAACCGAAAGTTGAACTTCACTTTCGACCGAGACCAAAACCGAAAGGTTTATAACCAAAGTTACCGAACACAAGATTTATGAAATACTAGCTTTACTACCCGGCTTCGCCCGGGACTTGGATTCACCACGGCCGGCTGCCTTTGTCTCCCCAGTGGCGATGTTGACACACCACTTACTCGTTTGAGGCTGAGTCGACCTAGGGGAGGCCCAGGACCAGTTCAAATAATCGTCACCGGCGGTGGCAATGAGTGGGAATTGAACTTGGGTCGTCGGGTTCGTAGCGCAGCGCGCGAATCGCTACGCAGTCGCTGCCCCCCCCTACATACACACAGGATAAGGACAAAAATCCACCATGTAGCCTGTGAGACTGTAGGGGGCAAGTGCTGTTAGCGAGTACCTATGAAGGCCGGCATGGCACACGAGGGGGTGGGTGGCCAGCACCACGCCATGTTCGTAGCGCTAAGCGCTACACATGCGCGGGTGACATGACAGATGTGACGTCACAGCTCGCTTGCCGTGCAAAATATATGCATTATTGCACCCCCCCCCCCCAAAAAAATAATACCAAAGTGTATGCATGGTGTACAGTATGGAAAGTACCCACATGGCAAATTTAAAGTTTGTTGCATGTCGGGAAGTACGCTAAACATTTTGAACAGACACATTCACAAATTTTCATTTTTTATATATAGGTCATGATGCAATGCTACTTTAATAAAACATGTATCTAGAACTAATCATTCAGAGCCTGCAGTAAGAGTCGTTAAATATCAAATCTTTAGGTGTTACTTAGTGATTATATCTAAACAAACGAATGTTGTAGTTAAGAAATACCAGTTTTTCCGCATTCTCGCCCAGCAGGTTGCTGTTTCTTGCATCAGAATCGACTTTAGTGATTAACTGCTCCGTTTATTAAGTTTAATTTTCTACTTCACTCAGATTCGTAATTTTGTTATCACTAATTCGCTACGTAACTATTAACTAACTGAATAACAATATTGTCAGATTTCGATTTAAAGCTTTCGTGACTGCAGGGATTCATCTTCTTGGTTCTTTCGGTAAAGTCACATAGAAGGGAAATAATAAAATAATAAAAATAAAACATAATAAAATAATTCTCACGACGTTTCGGCCACAACGCCAGCAGCTGTCCTCAGGTGAAGAATTCTTCATTTTTTTTATTATGTTTTATTTTTATTATTTTATTACTTCCCTTCTAAGTGACTTTACCGAAAGAACCAAGAAGAATATTGTCAGACTTCGAATCTCGGTATCAACACGCGTGTAGAGTGAAGAGAACGCAACACATAAGCCAAGGCGGGCAGGCGGCTGGGAACAGACAACAACGGCACTTTGTTGTCGTCCCGCCAAAGAGACTCCACCCACGGATGCAAAAGCAGGCTGCCGTCTGTTGACATTAACAGACCATCGTTGCGGCTGTAACCTCGCTCCCAAGCTGCTGCTGATGTGTTTTTGCAGCCTATCGCAGGATTGCCTAGCGCCGACTGACCGGCCGATAGGCAGAGAGATAAACGTAGCACTAGCGTTACATTCTAAAAATAGATCTTCGGTTGACCGAAAGTCAATATCAGTTTCGGCCGAAATCGAAAGTAAACCGAAAGTAAAAAATGTACTTTCGGCCGAAACCGAACGTATGTCGAAAGCGGCCATTTGCCAACTTTCGGCACCGAAACCGAATTTCGGTCGGCCTTTACTTTACGCATCACCTCTGTGCGACCGACTGGGGATCGCAGCAACTTGAAAAGGTGATCAAATGTACAAGAGGGGTTGGTATGAATCCTATTGCTATTTGGGACTTAGCTTGGAAAAACAAAACCAAGCATGTGTTTATCAAAGGATTATTCAATATTGGGCCAAAAAAGGATTGTTGATTACAGTAGACTCTCCATTTTCCACACTAATGACCGGGAGGATGGCCACGGATAATTCAAAATCGTGGATAATCCCAAATATTCATTTTCCGTGGATCTCTATGCCAAAAACCACTAAAGTATAGTGGTATAAGTTATGTTTAAGTTAAGAAAATTGAGTTGGTTAATGAATTAAACTAAAATTGTAGAACTCGCGATAGATCGATGCGCGTGCTCAATGATAACAATTTCCTGCTCCCGCGCAGACGACTCGGCCCACAAAGGGGACAGCAGCAGAGCCACGTCAATCAACATGGACAATTTTACGTGATTGCATTTACTGATCTGACCGAGGTGGTGGCACGTGCCTGTAAACTCATGGGGCTGAAAGGTGGCAGTATAGAAAGTTGGGGCACGTGACTTATCTGTGCGCGGCCCTGTGAATGTTGTCCCCTTGTGCTCGTGGGCTTTCGCTCATTACTCAGTGCTGCAAAGCAGTGGCAATGGGAGCCAAGTACAGTAGACTCTCGATTGTTCGTGCTAATTAGGGGAGGACGGCTGCACTAAGACCCATAGAATCATACACAGACACACAGCCTCACACAGACACCCATTGACTCACACAGAAACCCAAAGACTCGCACAGAAACAATATACTTGCACAAAGACCCATAGACTAACACAGCGACCCATAGACTCACACAGAGACCCATACACCCACATAGGGACAATATACTTGCACACAGACCCATAGACACCGAGACCCAATGACACACACAGAGAAAAAAATCCCACAGAGACCCATAGACTCACACAGATACCCATAGACTCACACAGAGACCCATAACCTCACACATAGACCCATACACCCACACATAGACCCATACACCCACACAGATACCTATAGACTCAAACATATACCCATAGACACACACAGAGACCCATAGACTCACACAGAGACCCATGAACTCACACAAAGACTATACTTGCCCAAAGACCCATAGAATCACAGGAAGACACATTGGCAAACACAGAGACACCGACTCGCACAGAGACATAGACACCCATTGACTCACACAAATACCCAAAGACTCACACAGGGACAATATACTTGCAAATAGACCCATAGAATCTCACACAGACACACAGCCTCACACAGACACCCATTGACTCACACAAAGACCCATAGACTCACACAGAAACAATATACTTTCACAAAAACCCATTGAATAACACAGAGACACAAATACACACACAGACCCATGGACACACACAGGGACAATATACTTACAAAAAGACCCATAGAATCGCACAGGGACATTAACTCACACAGAGACAATAGACTCACAAAGGGACAATATACTTGCACAAAGACCCATATAATCACATAGAGACCCATAGACTCACACACAGACACACAGCCTCACACAGACACCCATTGACTCACACAGAAACCCAAATACTCACTCACTGGGACAATATACTTGCAAATAGACCCACAAAATATCACACAGACACACAGCCTCACACAGACACCCATAGACTCACACAGATACCCATAGACTCACACAGAGACCCATAACCTCACACATAGACCCATACACCCACACATAGACCCATACACCCACACAGAGACCCATAGACTCAAACATATACCTGTGGGGGCCGTTGGCCCCCGGGGTCCCTCCCGCCTGCATCCCCTATTCCATTTACGTTACCCCACCTCCTTATTTACCCGCTACGGTTTCGCCGGCATTCGAACACGACGCCCCTACTGTTACAGCCTCGCGCCGCGCTCCCACGCTGCAAGCATACGTGCGCACAGCATCATCAATCAGACGACACACTCCCCCTCTTTACACCGCTACGTACAGCTCTCGCACGCTGCGAGCGTGTGCCCGTCTATAGCCCTGTGCGGCACTCGCCTCCACGTCGAATAACCACGTTACCAATGCGCATCCGTATCCGACACGTAACGAACGTATGCGCACTCACGCATACAGCTCCCCGCGGCACTCCCTCACCACTGAATACTCGCGTTATGATCGCGCACCTGTATCACACACGGAGTGAACACACGCGACACCCACTCTCGCGCCACTCTGCGCAGCGCTCCCCCGAGGCGAGCCGCAGCACTACGCTCACCCCTGACTACTCGCGTTATGATCGCGCACCTGTATCGCACACGGGGTGGACGCACGCACACACACGCAGCTCCCCACGCGACACACTGCTCAACAAGATCACGCGAGACCACGCTTCGCTATTAATGATTTATTATCTGCTACCTGCGAATTAGATGTTAAATCAGTGAGTCGACGAGGCTGGGCTACGCTGATACCTTTATACCTATTCCCGATTTATCTGCTATGATTCTAATTCACCTTCTTACTCACTGTTAGAAGTATTCGGCGTCCTGTGGCTTTTCCTCTATGCCGTCGCGACACGTCACGCGGACGTCCGGAGGGCAGAGCTGGGAGCCGACTTGCACGCGTGCCTCTTGAAGAGAAGTGAGAGCCTCTCCCTTGCTGCGATCCCTTTTATCCTCTGTCCCGTACTCCCGAAGGCTCTCCGCTCATGAGCGGCGCATATGCTAATTAATCCTCTGTCCGCGCGGCGTAAACTCTAAACAATCGCTCGCGCACCTCCTGCACGCGCACGGCGGCTCCGCAGCGCCCCTGACACGCCAATCAATGTCCTGCC